TCGAAGCAAGACAAAACAATGATCGGCCAAGACTGGGTATTCGGACAAAATACCGCCACCAAAATCGCGTCTGGACAAAATCCCGCCGAATGAAATACCACCGGGTAAAATCCCGCAAAAAAACGTATTAGAGAGTTTTTGCAAAGATACGCTAAACTTTACGGTAAAAATAACGTTCCGTTAAATGAGAAATAGCGTAATAAGTAAAACTATAGTTTTTGCATTACCGTAAATGTCGTATCTATATAAATACGGTACCCGATAGTCGATATCATATTTAAAYAAATATTTATCATTACAATGTTGTAATTATTTAATTACGTGTTGTTCACATTTTTATTTATACATTTTACATTTATATTTTTATCTTTTTATTCAATATGAATATTATAAATTGTAACTGATAAGCTACAATAGACGTGTAGTTATAAAATAAACATCAATACATTATTTTGTTGGTTGTTAATAAAATTGTCTCAATAATTTTAACAAGCTTCAAGTAAAATCTATTTAATCTATTAAAAAAACATCCGAAAAAACCTCGGACCCATTCACCGAATTTGGTTGAGGCACATACCTTGAAATAAAGCCTTCGTCTAAGAAATCTAAATCCTTTAGAATCTAAAAATTATAATGAGGTTGCTATGGTAACGTAATAATTATATTATCATTGGTAGTTAATTATAGGAACAAGTTAACTTTATATCATTAATTTCACCTATGTTATTGTTTGATAATCAAGGCAACTAATAACATGAAATCTGGAAATCTGTCAGAAAAATATAACAATATTGAACTCTCGCGGTCTCAACTCAATTACGTATTGTAATGGTAACGCTTTCGATGTCGCGCAAATTATAGAATAATAAAATTATCCTCTCTGTATCATAACCTTTGCCGCGTAGACGTACTAAGCACCGGCCAAATGGACCCCAAAGATGCGGCCGCTGTACATATTATAGAATGAACCAAGGCATAAACACGTAAAAATGTAATAAATTGAAAAGAACATCGGCCACAACTTTAACGGAGACTAAAACTACCATATTAAGTGTTATACCATAGTGTATAGGCGATTTCGGTACATCAACGTAGGTGACTCTCAAACGGTATCTTGTACCACTTAATACAAAACGAATGATGGAAATATTTCATTGGAACGGTACGTGTTGAGTTACTATTGGCATTTCTATATATCATGTATATAATGAGGACTTATAAGAGGTTGTTAGACTTATAATGTATTACCTTCAACAATGTAATGTAGTTTATGTATTTAATATACAACATGTATATCGGCTAAGATGTATACAAAACTAAATAATGATAATATAATGGTTTAACGAAATTAATCTAAATCCTAATATGTAATAGGAAAAATTAACTTTAACACAAGAATACAAATTTCAAATAAAATGAAAAAATAGCAACAAACCAAAATTAACCAAAAATTATAATAATATGTAATAAAATGATTTCTTACAAGATTATGAAATTCTCTGTAGTAATATATTCTCATTTGTATACTATTGAAAAGTAGTAGTCAGATAATAAAAATAAAAAGTAATTCATGTTATAGAGTACACATGCTTATGAGAGGATGAAAATGCCATAAACATTTGTTGATTTGCTTAATATTACATAATAATTTATCGGGTATTTTTACAACCATAAAAGAGATTAGGTATATTAATTAAATCATAATATTTAAATAATTCAGGTTTACAACATGKTCAAAATATCATAATTTTCTAGCCCGGCAGATAAATTCATTAAATTTGTTACACTATACTTCAATATTTCAGATGATAATTTTCATTAAAATGTTTTCTTTTAGTTCTACTTCTATTTACAGTCAATGAAGTGAATTCAAATTCATTGGAAAGATCACTTAAAAAATAATTAGGTTCTTTAAGTATTCCTTCAAATATTTTGTCACATCTTATTTATTTAAATGAAATGTGGACATTATGTATATTATTCATGGCACTCAGCAAATCAATATCAACAGCCTGAAGCATATACAAATAAGTGGATCAATTAAATTAAATATTTTGCTTAAACATAATGCATTACATATAAACAGATGACACAGCAAAAATTCAATTAAACCTGATGCTTAAGCTCCAATCTTGAAATCTACTCTAATTTCTTCACAAATTATATACTCCAATATCTCAATTACAGTATTGTACCTATATTTTTATGTAGGTAAGTCATCTTCAACTGATGAATATGACATCCATCTCCTCGCTGCCACGACTCGCATCGAACAGTGAATATTTTAAGAATTTTAAGAATTTTAAGATATCATATAATCTGTGCAACRCCATAATAATATATTCGAAACCACTGTCTTGCGTGATTGATTGCAGCAACGACACTATGTCTAGCGAATYACATAATATAATTTTATAATTGTAGACCATAGTAGAATACAAAATATACTTTGAATGCCTTTTTTATATTGTATAATATAGGGATTAATACAATTTATTTTTTTAACTAATGATGTAAAATATAAAGTAAACTTTTAATAATATTTTAGATCAAATGTGAAAATTATTTACGTTCTAAAAAAAAAGAATAGAAACAAAAGGAATTTGGGGCCTATACTAATTTTTCAATGTTATTATTTCACAATGTAAGCTTAAAGCACTGAATCTGACTAAGATTTGAAAAGATTTTGAATTAAAAGTTAACCAAGAAAATTGTAGTTATTTGATTTTTTTAATAAGTATAAATAATTAAAACGGTTTATGAAGGTTATAAAATAAAATACATGAAATAAAGTATAATATAATAAGTTGAATGTTTAATAAAATTTAAACATAATGTTAATTTATGAGGTATTTAAGAATTTAAGAATACATCAACAAATACACAACAAAAGCATAAAAAAACATTGCATATTAGATACTAAAATAGTGTCATGTCAGGTATCATAAAGGAATACAATAGTATGTGCTAAAGTAAAGATATGGTTAATAAAACTTTGAATRTTGAAATTAACATCAATTTAGATTTAAAAATAGATATTTAATCAAATTAGGTATTACAATGCTATAGCAATAACTGCATACAAATTGTTAGTAACAAATTATTGTGCACTTAAATCAATTTCAACACAACATTTAAGCTAGGATAATAGGTTTTAGAAATTAAAAATAATACATACATGTGTAATGTTAATTATTACATTTTAGATGGAATAAAATAATAGTAACAACTAATAAATGGTTACCTAGTTGATATTAATTCACATACCACAATATATGATAACAATGACTCAAACATTCACATATTTTGTTTGGTAAATACAATATATACTAATAAAATAAAATAAAAATAAATGATTTGTCAATAAATAAATACCTTCATTAAATATTTTTTTTWAAAGTAGTAAAAATGAATTTCGTGTATTTTGTAAACAAGTAAGATTTTATTTTATTTTTTAAGACATATTGTATAATTAAATAATACTGACTAGGAATTACTGAAATAACTTTGATAATTTCAATTAAAACATATAAAGTTTTATGTTTTTCTAAGCATATACATATACTTTAGTCCATTTACGTAATAGTTCTAATCAGCAGTATGTCACTAAAGATAGGGTATGCCAGCCATATAGCAAGTCTATTACAAAAATCACTTAACAAGATTTTTTTACAATATCATATCAGTCTCGAAACTTTCTATATCAATATTTAATGAACAGATATCATGATCTATATCAGAAGCAGTACTAYACTATACAATTTCTATGAACTGACTAATYAATGTGGTTTTGTGTTATATAATRCGATTTCTTCATAGTAAATTATAGTTACAAGAAATTTTAAGAGTATTATTTTTTGTAGGTACAAGATACAAGGTAAAAATATTATGGTTATTATAGTTTACATCAGAAAAGCTGACAATGTGAAACTTTATGTTACCAACACTATGTTTCAAAACAATAAAAGAGGTACACAAAAAAAAAAATAAAAAATAAGGGAGACTCCTTTCCCATAAATCAAGCGTGTATGAGCAGTGAGCACACTGAAATCCAGCCATCGACTGGATAATTCACAAAAATTAGATGCAATAGGCAACAGCAGTTTATTTTATAGTAGTGGAAGGGGACATGGCATTTGAATGAACTGAACAAATCTGTCACTGACGAAAAGTTCTTTCAACGTAAATGGACTATGTAATATTTTAGTGTATAACAATATCAATAACAAAGAAAAACATTTACAAGTAGTTATCTAAAACTAATTAAATCAATAACTAAACAAAATATAAATATAATTTGTATAAAATTTTAATTTTTGTACTACAACAAAAAAATAAAAAAATATTTGATGTAGTAAAATAGTGAACTTTTTAGTATTTTAGTAATTATATAAAGRTAATTAAGTTAAATGAATTATCAATTAAATTTAATTGTTTATCAATTAACACAATAATTCTAAGCATTTAATTAAGACAAAGTCCATGGAATTTGCTTGAAGAAGTTAATATTTTTAAGACAATCGAGTGAAATTAAATGAAAAAGTGAAATTAAATGAAAAAGTGAAAAAAAAGTGTTAAATTAAATGAACATGAACACTTTGCTATAATTTTTATTTATAGTTTTAAATCGTTTATTGCCTAGCCTTGTATATATTTTAACTGTTTTAAAAACAAGAGTATCATGAGTAATCTCAGGTGAAATAGTTCTACTCACGGTGGATTCAATGTGTATGGATAATGCACACGTGCTACTAGGCAAACGACGAGAACAGATTGATTCGAAGGGTGTTAATAAATAAAATCAGAAGACAATTGGTCACCTTCTGAAGTTATTATTATATGACACACAGTATATAAAAATGACATAATTAAAATTTTAGTGAACCAACAAGTTAAAAACAGATATGAAATTATGATATCTTTTGTAATTCAAAAAAATTTAACTATGATTATTTTCAAACCGTTTTTTATAAAATAGACTGCATACAAAAATATTTAAAAATAATTTTTAAATGTAAAAATGATAGACTCGTGATTTTAATTGAGTTATTTTTTAAAGAAAAGAAAATACACATAACTGCAACATTTTTGATCATAAAGTTAAATACTATCCATAATATATTGGAAGATAACAAGGTTAACAAAGCCCAATTCCATCACTTTCTGCATTTCCACGTTTTTCATAGAACATGACATCCTAAAAATATTAATTAATAATCAATTATTAAAGAAAATTCCAAGATAATTATTCAACTTTAACTTACAATCAAAAAACAGGCTCCAAGCATAACAGCTTTCATACGTACATCAAGATCCATAGGAAAGCTAATACCAAAGAAATCGGCATCAGTAAATACTTCCCTTAAGAGTCCAGACCATTGTTTAGATATACGGCCAACTACAGTGGTTTTGTCTTTCGATAATATCTGAAAAAACATTATTATTATGAGATTAAAATATTACAATTCTCATACTCTATGTTAGAGTATATACAAAATATTTAGTTAGTCTGATTAAAAATTTTAAAAATTACTTTAAATTCAACATCTCCACACATACTATATCGACATATTGGTCCTTCGATTTTTAACACTTCTTCATTAGCTGCATTACGAATGGTGAATATCGGAGTTAAAATAGACCAATCTTGTTCAACAATTCCAACCAAACACCCAGGTGGTGAAAATACTTCAATTCTCTGTTATATAATTATAAATATATAAATTTAAAATATCATAATATTATCATATTATCATAAAATGTATTTAAAAATCAAATATCTATGAATATTTTTTTTTTAACCAACAGAAAAAAAAAGCAAAGCTGAATAATAGTATTGGTTATAAATAATATTTATAATCAATGATAAAAGTTTTGAATAAATATTCTAGTTTCTTCAAACTTTTTTTTTTTATATATTTCACCCGATTATTTACTAAAGTTACTACTGACTATTCGACATATTTATTTTCAGAACATTTTTGTCAGTTATTTTTTCATTAAACTGTTTTATGTCCTTATTTTCTAATTTTTATTGTTATGCTGGGTTTACCTATATTAAAATCCCCATTATAAAAGTGACTAATTAAATTTTTTCAAACATAAGCAGTGTTTTGTTAACATTTTTTTATCTATCTACATTATTASTWWWTAMWWWAT